TGAGAGGAGAGGTAATGAACCAAGATGTTTTTACCACTTGGCTTTCGGTACCACTTTGTAATGTAGCCATTTTCTGATAGGTGAATTTGTACATTCAAAAATGGAAGCCATTTTTCTTTTGGCTTTTCTCAGGTGAACTTGCTATACTCTGACTTTGCGTTTAACAATTCGAAGCATTTGTCCATTTCCTCTTGTGTTGAGCAAAGGACAAAGCAGTCGTCTACATACCTACAGTAGAGTAGCGGCCTGAGATCAGTCACCGGTGCTTCCACCTTAGACATAAATGCAATGGCAAGGCTTGGAGCCAGTCGTTGTCCCATTGCCAACCCTCTTATTTGAGCGTAGTACTTTCCAGACCATCTGAAGATTGAGCAGCTCAAGCATTCTTTTAAGAGTGCCATCAGGTGCTCTGTCCTGAAGCCATACATGTTTATTTCTCCTTCGTGTTGTGTAAGGAGTTCGAATATGGTTTGCATTGCGGAGTCATTCGACACGTTTGTATAAAGGACGGTAACGTCGAAGGACTCCATCGCGCACGCGCTGTTGGCCTGCGCAGTACGTAGACGATCCAGAAACATCTGGGTATTCGTAAGATGGGCTGGAATGTGTTTCAACAACTGGTTAAATATTAGGGTTAAAAACCATGTTATCCTGTCCGTTGGCCCGTCTACGCAGCTAATGTGTATAGTTCAAAATATTCAACCAAATGCGGACTGAAATTACTGCTCGTGTGTTAGCCCACCATCTGTTTCAAAGCAAGTACGATGTCAGTTTTCATCCAGGTTGATTGCCTTAGATAGGGTGTGGTTAATTCATTTCATTTCAAGAAGTGTTGGCGTATCTAATCCAGCTATAACAGTTTTCCTTAAAGCTCCGTGACTTTCCACAGAGAAAGTAACAACTAATCGCCAAGAAGAGATTCATTAACGTATACCCTGTTGTGTGCGCGGAAGTGTTCATAAATGAGCTGACTCGGAAATATTCACAATTGTTGTTGGGGCCGTAATGATACTCTCTTCAAGAGGAAGGAACTTAGATGCTACCTTAACGATGGTTCTCTACGCTTTAGAAGCTGATGGCCATCATGAAGTGCGACCGTCCACAGCGTCCGTAGCTGTGGAAATTTCACGGTATCACTCTTTGAAGAAGTTATCGGAATCTTTTGTTGTAGTAAATTTTGGTGATTCTTGACGAGAGCAGCCAGATAGGAACCGATTGTGGTGTGAAGTGCACAACAGAATGGCCATCGAATCTATTCTAATTCTTCTTCACAAAAACTATAAATATAGTTAAGGTATATAGCAGCATTATATACATGTGCATATATATATATATATATATATATATATGTTTCAAATAAAGAAACTCAGAATCTTTTCTATTTCTTTAGGCGAATTGCGGTCGTACTTCTTTCATACCAGATGTAGAATTTTTCATTAAAATTAGAATTTAGAATCCTCATGCATGCAAACATTTATTATTTAAGCTCTTAGTTGTTAGGAATCGTAGTCTGTAATTGCTCCATATATTAGAGAGGTTTAATTGTACAAGTTTGAGGAGCACTCTGTAGTGACAAGCCACACACGAGGAATCCCTTGGCAAATTGTAAACAAAGGCAAACAGCATTTTCTTGAAGTGGAGCAAACAAAACATCATGTTAGGAAGTGTAGTAATTAAAACGTGTAGAACTATAGAGTTACTTATTGCCCGTCAGGGATTTGCAGACATTTTATTGAAAATAAGAAGAATATATGACCCTTGCCTCTCTTTGCAAGGACCCATGCTTCAAAACCATAATATTGAAATGAATAGCGATGAGCCGAAAGGTACTCAATGAACGCGGAATTAAGTTGTTAACGTTCGATCAGAAGCTCAACTGAAGAGTTTTCGAAGCCAAGTATTCGACAACTAAGTTAGGTGTAAGGACCAAATCGATCACGAATCGTCCATTGTATCTTATGAACAAAACGTTTGTCGAACGGCATGTTTAAACAAACATAAGGTAACGTTGATGTATATTGACTGATCCCATAAAATATGTAGCAAATAGATCGTCGTTTAATCGGAGTTTATATCTAATTGTTGGTACTGTTATAATATGGTGAATATATTGTTCACTGGTTCGACAATGATGGTGAGAAGTTTTTCCGTAAAATTTATGTAGATTCAGAACTCAAAGGGCAGTCATAAGCAACGTGGATAAGCATCTCTTCGAGAACGGCGATATTCTTAACTGTCCTCTTGCATCAGTGCACTCCAGTTGCGGCTACTGCTCTGAAACGATTCGTAAAAATGTGGCCTAGGTAGAATCACAAAACGTTGTGACGTCATGGGGCAGTATTATAATGAAAATACAAAAATAGTACATGAGATCAATTAGGTTTTACAGTGATGTCTATTGTTGTAGAACGTTGTGACTCATATCGCTTACTTTTCCAGATCGACCGGAATTCTGAATGCTGCGGACTGATATGAGGCAAAGCACAAACAGCCAAATAAGCACAGATCCAACTGAAGCACTTATAGATCATTTACGCAGAGCGTGCCTCAATACCGTGAACTCACTTAGAAAAAACACCAACGTCTGATGAGCGACCTGGATGGAGCAGAACGACAGCTAAAAAATTCCAGCAAAAAGATTGGAAGCATGTATTAAACAGTTTTTAGGTGTGAATGGATTCCAGAAGATAGACACTCTCTCGCCAGAATTCCATGAAATACTCCTTTTTTTGGAAAAACATTTAATAAATCAATCTCTTAATCATATCTCCGTAGAAATGAAGGATGACGTCATGATTTTATTACCGAATGCTCATAATTTCTAGATAATAGTTCTATATAATAGGTGCTTAACATGGTTGAATCAAAACAATAAGAGAAAAAAACATCCTAGAAATGCCATCGCTTTTAAAAATAACTGAAAGATGGTTTTATACACATAAAGTTCTTGGTTTTCCTAAATCACATCAGCTGTTCAACCACTTGTTACCGTGTGAGACAAGCGGGCGCCATTACAGTCTACATTCTGTCGCATGCCAAAGTTGCTTAATTGATTCTTTTTTGAATAAGAATAATATCCCATTTTTCGCTTGTATTTTTATAGAAAGGGTGCGTGTAGCGTAGTGATCGGAGGCGCTCTAACATACAGATGGGTTCCATCTTCGCGCGCAAGATTCGTCAAGACTTCCATTTCTCCTGGGTTGGACGCGACACAGCGGTAGACCACCATGAGTCATTTTAAAGGCCAGATATGCACTCAATCACCTTCAGTGATGCTTAATGAAGTTGAACGCATAGCGCATTGCTTAGGGATTGATCAACGCCGACAGCTCTGTCCTTTATCCTTTTATCTTTGTATGGAAGTCTTACCATCAGAACTGTGGCGTTCCTGCTTGCAACTTGACATTCCATTGCATGCAGTGCTAACGCATCCTATTCGTCAGTTGTCACTAGGATGGCACACGTATCCGACCCACCAGATTTTCGATATCTGGGTATTGGGCACAACCTGAGATCTCTGGTGGTCAATATAGGTCAGAATTTCGGATTTCCCCTTCCATTTGCGTCATAGAAGATATCAATGATAAAGAGAATTGCGGCTTAGTTCTGCACATGTTCCGTCACCGAGAATATACCATGTAAGAGCCGGGAAAGCTGAATCGCTAAGACAACATATTCGTTCTCCGTGATCCGACATGAGGGCAGGTGAATGTGCCCGCCGAAGAGATCGGACTACGTGCCCGGTACTTTTGGAAGCTCTACTATTGCCTCCGGACGTAAAAAAAAACCATATTGGTCTTGTAATCAGCAGTTTCCGAGTACGTTGAAGATGCCCTTCCAAATCCCTGCTGCTTCAACCAGCGCTACAATTCCCCTACTTGAGATCTTGTTTTATCCCGACATTCTGCAAATTCGGACAGAAGTTAATAGTAGTGTGGCATGATTCCACCTCGGCGAATCAACACGACTGTTTGTGGAAAAGGCCCGCTAGTTACCACGCTATCCTCCAACGGGACGACTAGGTCCGCTTCTTCGAGCGCACCCATCTCACCAACTTTTGTGGTATAATATATTCTGAGTGACCAGTTCTTCTCTACTACCATACAGTGTTTAGTGTGCTAGATCACCTCATTACAAATACAAATAGTCACTATAATATGTTTAAATTTTGGAATCCCTCTGTAATCCTGATTTCCTGCGTTACCGTACTCTAACACGGTCAAGAGAATAAGCCTTTATTTTACTCTTAGCGAAGGAATACCAAGTTTCTTGTTGACGACAAATTTGAACTGTTCATCACCCAATCCCCTTCAATCGATATTAGCCAGGTTTCTCCAAAATTTTTTTTTCGATATAGCCGGAGCTGTTGTTTCTCAAGACAAAGAGGTACTTTCCACTTAATTCCTTGCTCTTTAAGTGCTCATATCATCTATACAAGTTAGTCTTCAGTTGCCCACCGATCTAATTCTGGAGAACACGTTCTGAAGCCTTTTCGACACCTCCCCATCTTGCTTACAAAAACGCTCTACTCAGTAGTATCGTCTACTGGGAGATTTTAGTGTCAAATACTTGATTTTCTCGCCGTAAACTTGCCATATATTTCAAAATCTCCCTTACTATTTGAAAATTCGCGAGAAATACAGCGACATGACGGATAAAGAAAAAAACACTACGATAAGTGAGCGGTCATTGAATTGTCACCTTTCAACCAAAACGAACTTTATGCGAGCCTTGTTTGCATGAGAGTTCGCAAGTCGATAAAACACGAAGTCTCATGAGTTTCGCCTCAATAATAAGCAGTGAGAAAGCATGTAGACAACCTTACGAAGGTATTTCGCAAATTACTAAAGGTAATCAAAGCAGGCCTCAAGCGCATGCCTGCCGCTCTGAGCACGCCTCAGTTCGTCACCGTATTTCAGGAAGTACCAACACACGAGATCATTGAGAAATCAAGTCAATGCATTCCAAAGGAGAACACGTTCGAAGGCTACTTGCCCAATAAATGAAAACAAAACATCCGACTGCTCAATAAGAAAGTCTAGCGCTAATGTCATCCCCCCAAGAACTTGAAAATAAGGTAGAATTTCAGTTGCATTTTCGAGCCGAAAACAAAGTGTACAACTATGGGACGCCAAAGATATGAGGATGTCAAACACTTCGCATTCCACTGACAAATCAACAAGCAACAGATGTGACACTGAGTTTTGTACTACTCGTATTCTTAGATATTTCCTTTAAAAGACATGAATTTACAGTAACAAAAATCGAAAACAAAAAGCATAAATACCGAGGTATATTCATCATCTGCCTAAGGATAATGATTGAAACGCTATTATTTCATCATATTTGGATGAAAAATGAAAGACAGACCAACCATAGAGGTGATATGCACAAGTGGAAATAAGAAGATAGGATTTAAGACGTCGAAAACTAGGAAGTGATAATAGATATAAAGTAAGTGGATAAATGATTAAGAGACGAAAAATACGACCGTTGTTCAAGAAATCACCATCCTAGTGAAGTAAAATGAAATAATGACTGTTAGAATGTTTATTTATATACACAATATTCTATTGAAATATTGCTACCAGGTTCAAGAGAATCCGGATATTCCAATCCGACTAACAATAGGATAACCGAAGAAACAAAATTCAGAAAGGAATTCGTTTTACTTACCTTTACACTAAATGGAATCCACACAGTGATCACCCTTCTGGTGGCACGTCCATTGCTTCTGTTGCCGTGTCATCTACTGGAGAATCGAAGGAGAACAACCGGACTCCACGACTTTCTAGATCACCTACTGTTGATGCAGATGAAGGAGTTGCATGTCGTTGTCGCCCCCGAAGACGAGGAGCACCAGGACATTCGGATGGCACGCATGTTGGAGTCGTTGGCATAGGTGGAGTGTGAAATGATAGCGTCGGTTCTAAGTGAGTCATCTAAAGCAAACCTCACATAATAGAGGATAAGTCACTAGTTTTATCACATAACACAAAGAAAAATATACGAACACATCCATTGCAAACTGCGACGAGATAATTTTGAGAACATTACCAGACTCCCTCATACTTTGTTCTGACTTTTATTTCCTGCCTATTATTTTTTATGGCAGGATAGATACTATGTGGAACACAACCACAAAAACGTGAGCAATACTCGGGACCCCAGCTGGAATTTGAACTTATGATCATGCCCTCACGTGCTATGTGGTGCACCAACCAAGGCTCGCGCTCTGCCTTTCTCTCACACCCATGTTTTTGCTCTATTAGTAGTATTAGCAATTATTCGTCAACTGGAATGATCTGGGAGCTGAGTAAAAACATGGCTGAGAGAAAAACAAAGTGGTGGTATCGGTTGGTGTGGTAGATAGCATGTGAGCATCCGGATAAAGATAATCCCGGGTTTTGCCCATATCTCACCAACCCAATGGTTATCTTATACCCTATTCGTTAGTTTACATGGTGCTTACTCTACACACTTCAGTATTACAAAGTGCAGAGTTTTTTACGTTGCTAATGGTAAATGAATAGCAGGATCATCGTTGACAAATCTACTAAAAGTAGTAGAAAGAATAACAACTGACCTGCACAGCTGCTTCTTCATAATGTTTTGTAAGAGCTAAATTCGTATGATGATACGCTGCAGCCGGCATACCCGTTTTTGATAAAAATTCACCCAGCTGATGATGTAAACGACCCATTGAATGAAATGGAACCATAGAATTCTAAAACAAAGAAAAAACTAAGAATAGATCATGGTGGAATAAGTAATTAATTTATACCTCGGTCAATTTTTTCAATACTTCTATACCCTTTTGATAATTGTGGGTGCTATCGTATTGACTAATAAGGAGCCAAACCGCCTCAAGAAGATACGGATGAGCAAACACCACTTCCTCCAATATCGCTTGTGCCTCCTATACGAAGAAAATCTCCGTAAACGCGAAGCAAGGAAAGAAAACATTAAAGGTATATAGGCTAACACCTCTTTTCCATTAGCAGAGGCAAGCAAAACCTGTGCCTTAAGAACACGTGCTCGTGGACAACTGGGAAGATTTTGGCAACAAACAGCAACTGCAGCCCGAGCCTCCCGAATCCTAGATAGCCGTAATTCAGGTCGGCATATTTTGATCATATGTAGTAAGAGTTAGAGTGACTTCCACAAAAATCACTTGAAAATCTAGACCTACTTAGCTCTCTGTAAATATGTGACAATTTGCAACTCATATAAGTCAATGTTTTTCACATCCCTTTTTATTGCCGCACTGAGATGACGCATTGCTTCATCGAATTTCTCTGAATAAAAATTTATTTAACTAATCAAGTCTGGTTATTTGAGATAACAAACTTGATTCCTGGAAAGCGCTTACCAAGGTCAAGGAGCACATAGGCCTTCAGCATCATTGCCTCTGACTTAGGCTTGTCACCAAGCACGGTTTTATTGCATGCTTTATGGGCGAAGTACAATGCTGTCTTAAGTTTTCCTAGAGCAAACATGGACAGTAGCACCAGACTCGAAAGCTAATTTTTTGTATTGATAGATCATTAAGAAGCAAGCATGAAGATGTTAATCTGACCTTGACATCGAGCACAGTGCCCGACTGCTATCCACGCCTCTACCGTGTTCTCATTCGAGTTCATAAGTTGAGTTGCCAACGATTCGAGTTCCTTAGCCATAGGTGGAGAATTCTAAAGTAGTTTAAACGTTGCACATCTCATAATATATTTGGAACAAAGTGGATCGAAATTTGCGACTGGAATGAAATAACAAACCTGGGAAAACAACAAAGCCAATGTGTCCATAGCATAATGCTGCTCGCCATCCAATGAGTGTGCCTTGGCTAGCTCAGAGCGAGCTTCATGTCGCATTCCTAACGTGTTGTAAACTAATCCAATCTCCGTTAGAATCCTTAAAACTGGAACGATTAATACGTTTACGAATTACTACACAAACGCAAGCAATATAAAACCTTCTATTGATTAACACACTTTGGGTTATTCGTCCCCAGAAGTAACATGATTTTCAGCGCCTGTTCTGGCTGCCCGCTTCCGAGCAGTTTCTGAGCCTCAAGCCATGTCGTGAGATTCGCAGCAGTTGATCCTTCCAAACTTTCGCCGATAATGTCAATGACAGCATTGTATGCTGTCGACGCTCCACTACGGAGCACTGCAGCTAATGACCCAAAGGCGCTATTGCAGTGGGTAAAAACATCTCTGAAAATCCCAACAGTAGTATAACCCTCTAACATGATGAAAATGGAAATAGGAAGAATACAGAGGTACAAAAACAATGTACAAATACCGACTGAAGATATAAAGTAGAAATGTTGACGCCTTTGTGGTCTTTTCCAGAAAGGAGCTTTGCCATAGCATAGCGTACTTTAGGGATATACTGATGACCAGAAATTTTAGCCAGCACAGCTGGAAATGAAAGTTTTCAGCATCATTCACTTCAAAAGAAGAATAAAAGTACGTGAACAACGATAAGATTCTGGAAAACACGAGCTGTTCAAAAATCAAAACCCATAAAAACATCTATCTATTAAGGTCGGATCAACATTATTGACATGAACAATCACAGTTGCTCTTATACTAATTTAAATTTCATTCCCGTACTCTTCCTTGACTCATTCTCTATTTTATGTTTCGCATTTAATCTCTCCTCCCAATGGTTTACCGCCTCATCGTGGCTGGGAGGTGTTCTTGTATGTCGGACTGCGATGTACAGCGGGAGATTCATCTCCCTGGCAGGGTCCCAAGCTGAAGAGCCCGGCGCTTCCACAGGAAACCCAGTTAAAAATAAACCAATACCAGGATCCACCACCATCCTTGCATTAAACTAGCCGCATAGTGGCAAATCCCTTTCTGATCCACAAGGGCGACGACTGCATGTGGTGACGACCTGGTACAGACTTTGGCCAGGTTGTTCTCGGGACTCCAGAAAACCACAGCGGCTCAACAAGAAAATCGGAGAATGTAAATTATGCTGGGGATGGCACAACCAGTGAAGACGGACCATTATTGAAATATCCAAGTAAGTATTTCATCTTTTATCCTTCATTACCTTGCAGGAGATTCCTACCTTACACTTTTCCTTACAAAAATTATGTTTATGCAATGTAGACACAGTTGTATATCCGACATAAAGATATAAAATTATGACGAATACCTTATCTGGTATGCTTACAGCAGATAACCTTAACGTTTACGAAACAGCTGTAAGAAAAAATCCTCAGTAAACAAATGGGAACAGTAACAAACCAAGCGCTTCTTCAAACTTCTTCTCTTTCACCAGGCATTTATGATAACGAAATCGAACCTCAGTATCAGAAAAATGCTGAAATCTTCCACGATGAAAAGGGAAACATAGGGGAAACATAGCTCATATAGAAGTTCAACGTAAACGAATGAAAGAGTAATTCCTCACTTTGTTATGAATGGAACGTGATACCTCAGGATAGAGCTGTAGTGCTTTGAAATAGCTCTGGAAGGATCTCATATTTGAACGATCTCAGAGGTTCTTTGGAAATCAACCAAAAACGAAATATAAATAGACAGCTGAGAGACAGGAGAAACGAAAGACCCGCGTTGTGTGGTGGTGAACGCGTTAGCCCAGAGAAAAGGCAATAACGGGTTCGATACCCACCACAGATAGCTGCGGCCATGAGTCTCGCAAATATCTCAGCTGCATTATGAAATATAAATATCTCTTCGTTTTTAAACTGGACACTAACCAATAAACTCAGTGAGTACTTCTCCAGCTCGAAATATGCATCTGCCACATAGACTGCCATGAGAGCTTCGTGTTTTGTGCTCAAACTGGAATAGGTCTTCTATCCATACTCATAGGACACTGTTCGAATAAGGAAAGAATAGGAGAGTGCCTTTCGCAGTGGGGAACCATTTCGTGCAGGAAAACGAGATCCTCGTAGAGTTCATGTTCGTACAAGGTCTGGATGTGGTCAAAAAGCCTCATAGGACCTGTGGAAAAAGGTTCATAGCTACATTCAAGACTTAAACACAATCACCTAAGCATTACAAGATGAAATAAAGCCATAACCAAGGAATATACCTAGAAATACACTTACAAATATAGCACTGCAATAGAAGCGCTAAATATGATGATCAAATTTCCGCAACTACGTCATGTACTTTAAATGCACGTCTAGCTTTCATTTTCCATTGCTACTGGTAGTTTCCCTTCCATTTGAAATTTTCGAAGACCCACAAAACGTCGCTCATATTTGTGAGTACCAAGCATTTTCAATTTTACCAAATCAATTCTGCAGCATATTTGCAACCGGGTAGATTTTTTAGCCTTGGACAGACTTCGACACTTGAACGGCCCGTCCTCACTGGTTGTTTGGGCCCCAGCATAATCTCCACTTTTCGGAGATTTGCTAGTTAAGCCATTGTGGTTCTCTGGAATCCGGAGGTCACCCTTGTCTAAGTCTGTCCCAGGTCTTTACCACCACGGGCAGCCACTGCCCTGTGGATCAGAGGGAGATTTGCCATGATGCGACTAGTTTGCTGCCACAGTGGTGGTGGATACTGCTAATGGTTTACTTTTAGCTGGGTTTCCTAATAGAAACGTCGGGCTTCTTCTCAACTTGGGTGAGCGTGCTGCGGAGATGAATTCCTCCACTGTACATCGCAGTCTGACACCCAAGAACACTTCCCAGCCATGATGACGCGGTAAACCGTTGGGAGAATTCTATATCCTAGTGAATCAAAATACTAAGCATATGAATGTGATCCTGTCTGCTTTCAGACATTTTCTACACGAATTGTAGGCGATTTGCAGAAGCACATTTATCGGACTGTGGTGTAACTTATGCATCGTCTGCCTGTAACGCTGTTCTAGTTGTTTTGGTGTGACAGCACGTAAGAATCATGAAGAATTATTCTCACCTACCAGTCTCAGTGACACCCTACCGGTTTCAGGTAACTAACGAACATTTCACCACATTATCCTCCAGAAATTAACTTTTCATAAGGAACGTGTGAACAGCGTATTGGTTTGTAGCTTAGCACTTATGCGACCACACGATCTCTTCGGTAGGAGCCCTTTATGGCGGCACATTGGGGCCGCTTGATGCATGGAAACTCTTTTCCCACACTTCTCTTGATAAGTCAATACCCTATCCAATATAGGCTTTGTGACGATCATCGTCCATTGCAAGCAACTTCTTACCCATGTTAGTTCAAAAATCCTCTTTACTGGTGAACAGAGCGACCTCTAGAGAGGCTGCTGCCATTTAGGAGAAGGCAGAAGGGTCTTTGCTTTCGTTGAACTGATATTGGGCACTGAGAGGTATCCTTTCGCTACAACAGTAGAGTAGATCTTTGAGGAGATCTGGAGAGATGGATTGAGGGGTACAAAAACATTCTACTGACGTTACAAACATCACACTCCAATTCTTTCTACTTTTGTTCAGCAAACACGAGGTGTTACTTTATTTCTTTATTTACGCACAAGTTGACGTTTCGGCGGATTTCGCCTTCCTCATAGCTTGGAAAGGTCAAGTTGACAGAAACCTATTCGGCCAAACACCTCCATAACCAAACAGAGAAAATGCTGAACGAAAGCTTTAATCACATTGAACACAGAGTCTTTGCACATAATTTCGTCAACTGTTCTTTAGACAACAAGAGTTCAATGATGAAAATGACGTTAAATATCGGAGTTTACGAATGAAACCTTCAAAGTCCTTAATCACTATCGCGTTAAGAGATACTGCTCCAAACTCACTGAAATGCAAAAAACTTGATATGCGGGAGGTACGAGAGCTGATAAGGTCGAAAAACGTAAGACTATCGGTTAGTGATAAGGGTGGAGAGTTCGTTGTAATTCTCCACCAGTTAGATGTTGAGATAACGGAAAAGCACCTTAAAGATGCTTCCCTTTATCGTCCGTCGTCTGAGAAGGAATTTAAAAGTCAATACCGAAAGCCGAACCACGAATGGGCCAAAATGGCAAGGGCTGCAGGTTTAAAACCATCAGTTCTCTCAACTAAAAATTGACTTACCAACATGTCCCGTCTTGTACTCGCTTATGAAAACTCATAAGTTAGTATCCAGCGTTGATCTCGTGTCTACCGATCCATCGTTATTTAAGGTTAGACATATCATTAGCTACTTGGGCGGGCCAACGGATAGAATAACGTGGTTAATAACCCTAATACTTACTCAGTTGTTCAAGTACATTCCAGCTCATCTAACGAATACGCAGATGTTCCTGGATCGTCTACGTAACGCTCGACCGAACAGCGCATACGTGGTGGAGTCCTTCGACGTCACTGCACTCTATACGAACATGTCGAATGACTCCGCTATGCAAGCCATTTGCGAGCTTCTTATGCAACACGAAGGATCAATAAACATGTACGGCTTCTCGATTCAGCAGTTGATGCAATGGGACAACGACTGGCGCAAAGCCTTGCATTGCATTCATGTCTAAGGCGGAAGTGCCAGTAATCGACTTCGGTCCGTGACTTTACTGTAGATATATAGATGACTGCTTGGTCATTTGTTCAACACAAGAAGAAATTGACAGATGTTATTCGAGTTGTTGAACGAACAGCCAGAGTATATTAAATTCACTCGAGAGAAGCCAAAGGAAAACTGGCTTCCATTTCCGAACGTGCAAATTCACCTATCCGGAAACGGCTACAACACGAAATGGTATCGAAAGCCAAGCAGTAAGAATATAGCGGTTCATTACCTTTCCTCTCACCCCACTCACACGAAGAGGGCGCTTGTGAGAAACATGTTTGGAACAGCTACCAGCGTGTGCACAGGAAGACAGCAGAGAGAGGAGTTCCGGAACTTGGCGCGGCAAATGACCATTTTTAATAGCTACGAAACTGTAGCTCGATGTAGGTATAGAAGAAATCACGGGTACTCCAACGATAACTCTACGACAATGAGGTCCCATTTATACTGCCCTTCATTTCAAATGAAGTAAGTGCAGCTATAAAACGCTGTTTAAGAAAGGCCGATCTAGAGAATTCGGTAACGATAACTGAAATGCGATCGAGCGATCTAAGGCGCCAGCTAGTTCGTAACCGCCTATACGACCGCCTATGTGCAACGCAAAATTGCCTAATTTGCCCCATTGGTAGACACGGTGACTGCATGAGTTCGGGTACAGTCTATCTGATCTCTTGTAAAGCGTGCGGGGACGAATGCGTTGGCGAAACGGGTAGACCACTCTGCGTGCGTATAAAAGAACACCTAGTCGGCAAACGTAAACCAAATACCCCAATATGCACGCATGGGATGCAGAGACATAATGGAGAAGATTTTGAAGTAGGGGTTACGATCCTCGCGCAAGAATCGAGATCACAAGCGCGCAAAACTCTAGAGGCGTTTTGGATTAATTCCAAGAATCAGAAAATGAGCCGCAGGGAGTAATGCCTCATTATCACGCGTAATATTGGGCACTATACAAGCCAGTTATTCTGATGAGATGGGCACGATACGATTCCGTGTGAACTCTGTGCGGTTGGTCTCCACGTCACATATTTAGTGGAAGACTCATAGAAAGCGGTGAGTGTGCAAAGACTCTGTGTTCAATGTGGTTGAAATTTTTGTTCAGCAATCTCTCTGTTTGGTTATGGAGATGTTTGGCCGAGTAGACTGCAGTTAACTTGACCTTTTCATGCTTTGAGGAAGACGAAATCCGCCGAAACGTCAGCTCGTGCGTAAATAAAGAAATAAAATAACTGAACAGAAGTAGAAAGAATTATTCAATCAATGCCGAGGTTTAGAGAAAGTCGGACGTGGGAGTTATCGCACTCCACTATTTATTATATTCGGTTGTCGTTAAGACTTGGACAGTGGCACAGTAGATCCTCCACGTGTTCACCGTACGTGTCTGTGTGAGTAAGTGGAGGTGAGGGCGTTTACACCTAAGCCACGAATATCCGGGCGTATTTGAAGCGTGGTAAGGTGGAATTGACGTATCGGTTGCTCCTTTTCATGATAGGAGTAAGGAAAGGCGCTTCCAACTGCAACTCAACATTCTTGTCTGCATATCCATTGGTTCTTAACACAATACGATCTCTATTTCCTTTCATACTTTTCACGAAGATATATCAGCGTATTTTCAGGTCAGACCTGTTACCGCTTACTACATCATTGTCGTCATCATCGTCATCTCCATCCTCAAACTTCGACTCCATTTATTCGTAGTTTTACGCGCAGAGAACTGGGCGCTCGACAGATTCGGTGTCTTCAGTGTTTCTACCCTTATTGCCGATAAGAGGTGGACTTAAAAATAAGCGAAATCATCGTTTGCCGATGTGACTAAAATTGTTGATTTTAAATCCTATC